ACTCGACGCCTGCTAGTTTTGCGTCAGACAGATGCTGCCGCCGTGTCGAACCGCGAGGACCGGATCCGAAAGGCTGCTGAAAACAAGGCTCGGGAAGACCACGCGAGCCAGGTTGAGGCGGTCAAAGAGGAGATCTCCACCTTCAGCGTGTTCGACTGAGACTTCTGCCTCAGGACTGTATTAAGACATTTTGCTTGCTTGTTTTACATTTGGAACTATGCTATGACTCTTAAAGTCATAACTTTGTTCAAATGTATTGTCTTGAAACACTGGGTGTATGTTTTGCTTCTTTGAACATTATATTATGACTTTTGCAATTTGCAAAAACATAACTTTGTTCAAATGTACTGTCTTAAAGTATCAACGAGGTTTTGTGTCCGCTCATTGCTTGTGTATTGGCGAGATTTAATTTGTTTTCAGGCGAGATTTTGATCGCGGCGAGTTCCGCTTGGAAGCTAAACTCAACTGTTGGCGAGTTCAAGCAGATGAGTAACTTCTTTTGCCGGCGAGTTTCGCTTGGAAACACAACCCAACGGCTGGCGAGTTTATGTTGTGTGCGAGACCCGTATGATGGTGGGCTTGTGTTGAAAACCCGACCCGATTCGCCTGGCGAGTTTGAATTGTAGGCGAAAACTCGAGCAGTTAGCGAGTTGATCCAATAGTCGGGGATCCGACTACGGGCGAAACTTGTGCCACGTGTCGGTCGGCGGGCCCAAGTGCTTGCCAGCCAAGACTCTGCAGGCGCATTAATGCCCATTTATGGTGAAGCGACCGGTCGCTTCGCCTCTCGTGCCCAATCCGATCTGTCGGTTCGGGGTTTCGAGAGCAGCCTTTAATGGCGTCGAGTTCGAAGCGTCGCAGGGCGTTTGGACCGCTTGATCGCTTGGGGTGATGAATCTCCACCGTTAAATTTTTCGGAATATATACTTGCACTTGCTCTTCTCCAGCAGAGTCCCTACCGCTTCGAGAGAAATCCGCTAGGAAGAGATCTCTGCGAAAAAGAACTCTCTCTCTCATGGCTTCCTCTTCTAATGATAGTGGTGCGGAGGGTGTCGGTTCTTCCTCCACCGTCGTCGACGTTGGTGCTCCGGCTGCCGTCCCCGCGATTCCGGACCCCTTGGCTCATCCCGCCTTCGTGCCCCTCCAGGAATTGGTGGGCTTGGTGCACGGGGTTGCCATCTCAGTCAGCGTTGGCGACGGACGTTACTACGACGCGCTCCCTCATGTGGAAGCGTGTTTGGAGGCGGTTCGCCGTGCGGGTGATGCCTCGCTCACACGGCGATGTGAGCGGGAGCTTGAGCGCATTGAGGGGTGGATGTACCGCCTCGAAGAATTGGCCAACGAAGATTCCTCTGATGAGCCGCCGCCCCCTTCTTTGTGTCATCTACTCGAGCGCAAAGAGCGAGCGAAAAGGATTCAGGCGAAAGAGGCCGAGCTCCAACGTCTGCGGAGGCGACAACAAGCGGTGCTGGACCGGATGGATGCCTATCTGGACAGGGCCTTCTTCGAGGACGCTGGCTCCCTCCGCGGCGAGGCGAAGTTACGGGAGCGCCAGCTTACGGTGAGGAGGCTCGGCGAAGCTGCCGCGGCGGTGGACCAGGAGCTCCAGCTCCTTCGCCAAGAGGAAGAAGCCAGCGAGGCGGAGTTGGCCCGGCGGCAACCGGAGCGGAAGGAGAAGGCGAGGATCCAGCGGGCTGCGGAACGTGCGAAGCTCAAAGTGAAGATCGGCTCGTTCAGCCTGCTGAGATTCCTGTGAGGCTGCTAGCTTTACGCATATTTTTTTTTCTTTTTGACTGCGCCGTTGGGCATTTGAATTGAACTTGACGATCCACTGATTGTCCTGTTTAGGACTTAGTCACATTAAGCTCTTGTTTTGCCTTCTGTTGCTCACAGCGTGGGATCGGATTAACTCCGATCTTCGCGTTGTAGCTCCAACGGGATCGAGAGAGTAACCCTTGGATCGCAATAAAGAACAAACGTTTGCCTTTACGGCCAACTGAAGAACTTGACTTCGACTCGCCTTTTGGCGAGTTGTTGTCTGGGTAAAAGTCATCGCCTGGTAGACTCTACCCATCAGTTATCCTAAAGCAATGTTAGGACATCCGGAATAGGTCAGATAGTTCAGGGACGTAGGAGTGTGACTATTGACAGGAGTAATGGTACGTCGCATGGTAGGCCATTGTTCAGGCTATGCTATTCGTAAGAATAACAGCGCCAATCATCAGAGGTGATCGTTAACTTGATGAGGTTTTGTCGCGATCGGAGCGACCGTGGGGGCCT